GTTGGACATTTTTAATTGTTGATGTGCCCGTGTCAACGAACAATATCTAACGTTAGTTTTATAAACACTTTCGGGCAAACTAGAGGGGTCCAGGGTTCGAATTTCGGCCCGGAGACCGGTTATCGTGGCTGGAGTTTTCGTGGTTTTATTCAGTTCTTCCAGGCAGATGCCGGGATAGTACATAAAATTAGGCCACGACCGCTTCCTTCCACATCAGTTCCAAACAGTTATTCACCATTATTCGACCCTATATTGTCTGACATACAGAAAATGTCGTAAATAAATAAATAAAGTTAATGCATAGATAGTTCTGTACGGTGATTGTATAAACGTTTCACAATGGTTGATTTATTACAGGAATACGTTCATTCGATAGAAAACCGAAGAAATTTTCGCTAAACATCCGCCAGGGCATATGAAACAGTTTAAATTTTCGGACGTAACCTTGAAAAGAACATCGGGTTTGAAGTTTGGCTCTGCATCCCAGCGCTTGAACACTGTAGCGGCCGACTCAAACACTACGTGCCTGCCCTCTCACGGAGCTAATTACAACACAAAGTCGTATCTCTGTGCTTCATGCAGACTGGAAATATATGGCCACCGGTTTAATCTCGGCACTAGGTTCAAGTCATTAGTGTGGCTTCACACCTCCGGCCGCTTTACCTCTGAGGAAATAACCTCCGGAACTCATGCGATGAGAGGGTCGGTGGGGCACAGTAGATCTGCATCTGCCGGGAGTCGAACCCCGGTTGCATGTTTTCAGATTTAATAAAATTAATATCGGTATTATAACGCGAGCTTGAATTTACGGCCGTGTTTGAAGAAACTCGCGGGCCAGTGTTTGACAACAGGGGCGACCTTCGCTGCTGTGAATTTAAGACAAACGGAAAGATGGAATTAACTGGAAGTCCCGTGTCTGCAGTTGTGACGTTTCCACTTTGCCTGGTACCTCCCATTTCATAATGCAGAGTGTACGTGTCAAAGCATGCTCTACCTTTAATGACCGAGGCCTTTTCTGGTTGAAATGTTTGTATTATTCCTGAAAACCAAGCTCTGTCATCTAAGGTTTCCAAAGGTACAAAATGCTTCAAAGTTTTGATCTGATATTGTTCTTTATATGAGCAGGTCCCAGTCCGAGAAAAGGATGGAAGGATCCTGTTCATATGGACCTGTCGTCAGACAGAACACTAAATAATAATAAGATGAGGTGGTCTAGCGGTTAGAACGCTGGCCTTGTAATCCTGGGGTCTCGGGTTCGATTCCCGGCGGTGCCCGAATTTATAACTTGTGTTGGGCAAGACCGTGGTCTAAGATGAAGGCAATGGCAAACCACTTCTGGATCATTTGCCAAGAACGTATATGAACAGGTCCCAGTCCGAGAAAAGGATGGAAGGATCCTGTTCATAACATGTCGCCAATCTCCTGAAACCATCAAGTGTATGCGTCTTCTGTATTTATGAAATTTGCAATTTAGGAACATTTTATACTCATAACTGTTAGATTTCTAGACATGGCATAGTTTATTACTCTAACAGAATTATTCATTATCATTTAGTTCATGCAAATTATCATTCGAAATTGATGGTTTGGAAATATCTTCTCTCTCCATCTTGGTATTGAAACCTAACAAGTGTTTCACGTGACTTTAGCTCCTCGTAGAAGCTGTCCTCTGACTTCTCCTTCTGCCATGGGGTGAGGTTAGGTGTCGCTGAAATTAAATTTGGGATCAACGCACTGCGACGCGAACACTGGCATTTTGTCCTAGTTTCTTTCTTTGAAAGCAAAGTGTTCATTTCGTGTCATTTTGAGATGGTTTGGTGGAGAATGGGGTGGATTTACCTGCAAAATGGAGACAAGTGTTGGATATTTGTAGTTGCATACGAAAGATAATGTTAACTACGATAAACTGTTTTGTGCACTCCTAATATTTGAAATGTGAGCTATTTCTAGAATTTAAACACTGGGACGGTGGATTTGCAGCCAAAGAAAAATAACTAGCTACACTATCAAGTTTTTGTGCCAGATTTTGTCTGGTAACTGATGTCTGTCTTATATTCGTAATATTTAAATTACTTTCATCATGGACCTGCATTTGAGTTTTGTTCAGAATATTGTTGATTTTATCGTAATTTACTTTTAGCACGAATAAAACTTCTGGATTTATGGTGCGTGGTACAGATATTAAAAAGAAATCAGCATTTGGAGTTGCCTGAAATGGCGAGGTCCTAAGCTGTAGCTTGTTTAGGTTTTTATAAATCTGGCACTGGGTTCACTGTAATGACATCTGTAGTTAAAGTCTGTATTTAACCACTTATCTAATCAGCTTTTGGTTATGTTGAAACTTGGGACATCTGAATGAGATGGAATATAAGCAATAGCATTGAACTTTAGTGGCATCTGGTGATCTTTTTATCTTATCTGACAGCTTTTTGGGTAGTGAATACTCTCGGAATTTATGACCTGTTCTGTGAAAGGACAGGGACCCCTAAGGTACATAGTGCATACATACATAATGTTTATAGCAAGTGCTACATGTATTATATATTAAATTTTATGACAGCGTCTTTCGGATTATGTTTGAAGTTCTTAAAATGGCGGTCTTCTGCAGTTCCCTGATGTCGTGTTCGCCCGGGATCTTGGCCAAATATTTTCTGAGCGACCTGGAGACAGTTCCTGTTGCCCTTATAATTATTGGGATTACATTTGATTGAACCTTCCACATTCTCTGTATTTACGAGGTGCGATCGGAAAGTTTCCAGACTGCGCCTATAAAAACCCGTACACTTATCTCAGGTATTAAATTCATCCATCACCCTCGAAGTAGTT